GGACCTCCTGGTGGCACCTGGTATTTTTGGCCACTGTGTGACAGAGTGTTGGACTGGATGGGACATTGGTCTGATCCAGCATTGGCTTCTCTTATGTTCTCAGCCACCCTGAGCCCATTAGCGGGGAGGGCGGGGTAAAAATGCAATAAATAAATAAATATATATAAATAGTCTTACGTTCTTAGGATCCCACCAATGAACAATGAGGGGCGTAGGCTGGATTGTTTAGACTGCAAGGTCTATGTGGCGAATTTTACTGCCATAATGGGAAGATATCAAATGTTATTGTGGGAGGCAATGTCACAATTTATTACTTTATTTATTGTTATTTTTATGTATTTAATTTATACCCCACCCTCCCCACTAAAGCAGGCTCAGGGCGGCTTATATAAATTTTTAAAAACAAATTTAAAACATATAAAATCTAAAGTGCAATACACACATACATTCCTATGTGATGGCAGTCTTAGTCCAATCTACTGGGTTACTCCCTGAGGATAAAAAAACATTGATGAAAGTATCTTATATTTCTTAACAATGGTATCTTTTAGGAGTACACGATTTTGCCATTCGGTCTCATTATTGCCCCAGAGTATTCACCAAATGCATTTCAGTTGTTGAGGAGGTGTCATCAGTAATTTCAATGACTGGCTCCTAGTCTCCAGAGGGTCTATTGAGGGATTTGCACCTGACAGTACCCTTCAGGAGTCGGGGTTCCTTATTAATTGGGGAAAATCCAGCCTTGTTCCCACACAGTCTATTGATTTTAATTGGGGCCAGGATCAATTCATTGGAGAATAAAGCATACCTACCATTGCAAAGGGCAAAGGTTTATCATAGCCTTAGTGGAGAAAATGTCAGCTAACAGTTTTCAGTCTGTTAAGAATATTCAGAGGATACTAGGATACATGGCATCAACCTCAGCAGTAACTCCACATGCCAGGTTGCATGAGAGGCTGCTCCAAAATTTCATACAGGCATTTGACCCTGAGTTATATCCCCAATGGAAGAAGTTCCAAGTCCCTAGAACAATACTACATAGCCTAACCTAGTGGAGCAAGTTACCACATTTACTTTAAGGAATACCACTAGTTATGCACTCCCATGACATTTAAGGTGGATGGGGGGCACACTGTGGGGAATTTGAGGTAAAGGTCACATGGTCTGGACCAGAATCCAGATTTCATATTAATGTACTGGAGCTCAGGGCCATTAGGCATGCCTTTGCTTCTTTACAGCTTTGCTGAAAGGATGCCATGTTCTGCTAGCAACAGACAATATGATGGCCATGTTCTACGTGAACAAATGGAGACAAGGGTTCTGTGAGCTTTTGTAGGGAAGCTGCACTAATTTGGCAATGGGCAGTCTCCCACATAGTGTACCTAATAGTCATACTCATTGCAGGTCAGGAAAATAGTTTAGTAGATATAGTGATCAGAAGCACAGATGTAAAACAAAAGTGATGGATAGCTGACCAGTACCTGTGTTCAAAGAATGAGGTTACCCAGACACATATCTCTTTGCATTGAGTGCCAACACCAAATGCCGCCTTCATTGCTTCAGGGCAACAGCAGACAGGCAATCATTCCAGTTATA